TGGGGCCACCAGACTGAGGTGCTCCGCTGCACCTCAGGTGAGCGGTGGTGCGCGTAGACGAGGTGTCTGAGCCCCCGAAGCTCTATCAGTGGGTGCGGTCTGAATGCTAGTACCTGTCGAAGCTCCTGCAGGAATTGGTAAGAAACCTTTTTTGCTGCTTTGTTAGATGGGACGAGACAGAGCTACAGTCCGTCAGGAGGAAAAAAAAAAGAAAAGGATAGAAGAGAAAAGGGAGCGGAACAAACATGTAGCATCCAAGAGAACTGTGGAGGTGAAGGACTGGAGTTCCTGGGGCAGCCCTTCGAGGAGCGCCTTGGGGCTGCCATCTCGTCCCCAGGGCCACTGCCCACCCCCACCCCAGCGCCATCCTCCTAGCCGCCTGCTCCCCGAGATACCTGTGAGGGGAAAGGAGTGGTGACAGTGAGGAAGAGGCGACAAGGGACAGAGGTGGTGGTCTTCCTCAGGCAGAAGAGGGCTTTGGGGAGCGAGAAGGGACCATTGAGGGTTTTCCATGAGGTGTCTTGATAGGCTGTGGAGCAGGGCAGGGTGGAAGCGGCAACACACGGCTGGCTGAGGGAGGGCAAGTAAAGGGGCTAGTTAATTGCAGGGTAGGGGGTACAAGGAGGGTATTGCTGCTACCTTTTCTCTAGCCCTAGCGTGGTCACTTGGCTTGGCCAAGCCATATGCATTGAGGGAGCCATACCGAGTCCTGCCTCTGGTGTGCAAAGAAAACCGAGAAGCAACCCTGCTTCTCCAGTGAGAGAGAAGAAGTTGGGGGCAAGAGAGCAGCTTGCTCCTCAATTCCTGTGCTCACTCTCCAGGTTTTTTATGCGCTTATGGAGGGAAAGAAAGGTTAAGTGCAAATCCTAGGAATGCTGTATTTCTGACAGCCAAAATGAGCCCGTTCCGTGCAAGGGTTGGGAAGTTGTTTTTGTGCCCCTGCTCCCGCACCAAGGTTCCCGCTAGTAGTGCGTGGGGGAGAGTTTCATCAAACCAGAGACCCAAATCCTCCCATCTCTGTATCCCCCTACACCTTCCTGCCCTAATAGCTTTCTGCCTATTTCTCAAGTCACTCAAAGCCTTTTTAGCCCTGAGCTTGCGCTTCAACCCCACCCTTAACCCTACTTCTCCTGCTAGAAGCTGTGATGTGCAAGTTTGTCTCCTCCCTGATACATTCTTAGCTGCTGTTTAGCTACGTCTGCCCTGCCAGCCTCCCTTTTATATCTCCTTTGGCATCCCCACTGGCTGTGAGCATTACTTATCTTCTGGCTGATATTACACCAGCTGAACCCACTGGCTCTTGCTGTATAAGTGAAGATAGGCTCTTGCTCCTGCTTGACTTTCAGAAACCCGAAAGCCTCACTAAATCATTTTCAGGCAAAAAGGCAGTGTGAGTTCAGACTGTGTTTTGCTGAGGAAGAAATCAAATCCAATTTCTCTTTCTAATCACTGGGTTTGGATATAAAAAGCAATAGTCTTGAATTTATCTTTGAATGTCTGAGTTTATTTTTTTCCCCAAATAAAACTCCTCAGCAAATTCAACAGTATTTAGTGACTCTGAGTGTATGACACTTTGAGTTCAAAAGTAATCCTCAAAAGTAAAGAATCAAAAGTACAGTTGGGGAAAAAGTATACTTAAGCTTAAAGGTACTAATTGGGAAAAAAATAAATTTCTAGTGTCCCTGCCTTATAAATTCTTCAGAACCTTTGATATTTAGTATTACTAGGCACAGTTAATCTGAAAAATGACATGCTTAGAGATTTTGTGAAAGGCAGAATCGGGATTTTTTGTGTAATTCCCTTTCTTGGTAGCTTTTTTTCATTCTTTCAGCACTTGGTCTCAGGTTCATTTTATGTGCTGTTTAATATTCGTAAAAGAATAATTTCTGAGCATTTGTTTTCTGTTTTATTTCCCCCTGCAAATGGTTCACTACACATAATCTTTTTTTTCTGATCCCACCTTCCTGTTGGAAGTGGGCTTTAAAAACATTTCGGTTTTGTGTAATTGCATTCGAACTTTTGTTACATTGTTCTGCTTGTGTATTTTTACTTTGATTTAGTTTGGTGATTTTTAAAAAAACTTTTATTTAAAGACCCAGTAGCCGAGTCATAAGAGTCTGTCAGAGTAATGGTCTGTCCAATAATCTCTTGAGAATTAAAAGCATTATAATGATTCTTTTGCTCAATGTTGTGGTTTAACCCCAGCCAGCAGCCAAGAATGACACAGCTGCTCGATCACTCCCCCTGACCCTGGTGGGATGGGAAGGAGAATCGAAAGAACAAAAGTGAGAAAGCTCTTGCATTGAGATGAAGACTGTTTAATAGGATAGCAAACGAAGAAATAATATTAATAGTAGTAATAATAATATACAAAATGAGAGATGCAGACTACAATTGCTCACCACCTGCTCGCCAGTGGTCTGTCGGTCCTGAGTAGCAAGTGCAGCCTCCCAGCCAACTCCTCTGAGTTTCTATACTGAGCATGAGGTTGTATGGTATGGAGTATTCTTGTGGCCAGTTTGGATTAGCTGTCCTGGCTATACCCCCTCCCAGCTTCTTGTGTACCTCCTCACTGGCAGAGCATGGGAAACTGAAAACTCCTTGACTTGTTATAAGCCCTACTTAGCAACAACTTCAACATCAGAGTATTATGAACATTGCTTTCATATTAAATCTGAACCACAGCATTATACCAGCTAGTAGGAAGAAAATTAACTCTGTCTCAGCCAAAACCAAAGCCAGGACACTTAAACAGTTACTTTGCCTGTGATCACTTGAAGGAGCCTAAAAAGAAACTGATATTTAGGTGCTGAAAATGCCTTTAAAAACTATGTTCCAAAGTACAACAGTATAGCTGTGACTAAGGTGCTTAAAAACAATGCGGAGAGCCCAGTACAGAAAGTAAACAAGTGCTTATCAGCTCAAAAGGCTAGAGAAGGTGAAATTTGCCCTTTTGAATACTTGGGATACTTTGGGTGATAAAGCATTATTTTTAGTGAAGAGAGGAGTTTTGCAATGTCTGCCATTTGGACAATTTTAATCATATTATTTACCAAATCTGCTTGAATGAGAATATCTGAAGCTTCCTGGCTAGATGAAGCTGTTTCTGTGGAATGGAAGATTCATTTATTTAATTAGCCACAAAAGGAAGACAAGATGTGCAATTGCCATCAAGCTCCATGTCTGTTACCTTGCCAATAGCCTGGACTCCTACAGTACCCATGTTAATTCATATATACCAAGTGGCATCACGGTAATCTTACTAATTTTATTGAGATTCCAGCTTTTTCATCATGAAGATATGAAATACAAAGACAAAACCTGTGTTACTGGGTGCTCACTCTCTTTCTGATCTTTCTGTGTCTTTCTGCAGTTCTGTCTGTGTACAATATTGTTGATGGGACAAAGAAGTGGACGTCAAGAAATAAGGAAGAAACTGGCACTAAGTGAGACCATGAATGCTGAAGCAGATGGACAAAATGATAAAGAGGAAGCTGAAGAGCCAAAGGCCAAAGACCAGAGGCTACTATCAGTCTTTGGTGTGGCAGACTTAAAAAATGGTAATAACGGTTTGTCTATTCTTCACTCTTATATTTTCAGTTTCTAATGCCTGCAGTTCCATTGTCTGTCCTTAGGCTTCATTTGCTCCTATTCTTTACCTCTTTAATGAATAATATACAAATGATTCTCATTTTGCCCTGCCAAGTAGCCATTTTGTTTTTTTGGGAAGGGATTACAAGAGGATCTTGCAAATGTTTCCCCTTTTAAGTCACCAGATTGGCCATTGCAGCCAAAAAGGTCTAGATGCTAGCCCTGTCTCTTTCCAAACACAGCCAGCATTGCTTCTGGAGTTGCTAAACCATGGGCTAGGCCCTAGTTATTCTGCTGCATCACTGACCTTTCAAAAGCTGTCATCAGTGTTTCAGGTGCCCATACTGTTCTATCCCAGCTATAGCCCACCCTTACCACCAACTGTACATATTTCAGAGTTGTTCTGGGTTTCTGTTTCATGTCTTCTCTCCCTTTGGTGATGACTTCAGAAGAAAAACTTCTAATTTCTGACCACAAGTAGTTATACCCCTTTGGGCCACAGAATATGCTGTCTTTTTAGATGCAGCGTGAACAGCTGTAACTTGCTTTTTCCACTTCTCTCAGGCTAGTTCCTTTCTCTGAAACTGAGACTAAGAGTACCAGAGGTAGGCTGAAAGGGAAACTTAAAGCCTGTATGGTAGACAGCTACCATGTGGTCCCACGTGCAGCTCTTGATTTTGATTTTGTTATTAGGCCTGGGTGTGTAAAAGGCTGAATAAAAATCCTGAAACAGGCAGCCTTTGACTTCTGTTGTTTTTTGGTTTGGTTTGAGGGTTTTTTTTGTTGTTTTTTTTTTTAAATTTTCTGTTTAGATGTGTGTGGCAGACGCACCCACCCTACTAAAGACTTGAGAAAGACCCACACAAACAGTACTAAAGCTTCTGCCCTCACAGCTCATGTCTGGTCCACACAGTGGGGGTCAAAGGCGGGAAAGTTGGGGTCCTCAGCCAGTAGGGGGTGACACGACCATGTATTGATCACAGATCAGATTCGACCAGGGTATAAATGGGGCCCTGTCGGAGGACTCATTTGAGTCGGTCCTCCTCGGAGCAGTGAGTCTGCAGTTGGGGACTCGCCCCTTGAGTTGGGACACCACTTAAGGTAACTTCTCGAGATTGAGAGCCCTCCCTTTTGGTGAGTGAGTGAGTGCACATTTTGGATTGTTTGGCCAAAAACTTAAGAATTCTTAACTCGCCTGTGTCTGGTAATATTCCCAACCAGCATATTGAACCTGTATTTGTTAAATGTCAGTTGGATGTTGTTTTGGTGAATGGAGTTTTGTCTGCTTAATTTAAGTTGCAGATTAAAGCTTGTTTGAGTTCATTATTTGTGTGCGTGTAGTCATTTTGGTGCTATTCCGTGACAATGTGTTATGAGAGGACTGAGAATAGAGGACCTGTGAGACATCTGAGTATCATAATCCAGTCTTGGATTTTTCTTGTCAGTTGCCAAGCAAAAATAAATGTTATCTGCTTGAGGAATGTAAGAATAGATTGAACACTCTCAGATCTGACCAAAATGCCGGCCTATTTGCCACTTCCAAATAATTTTCACTTTATTTTCTTGCACCTATCTCCAGGCATTACTTCATCTTTTTCTGTGCCTACAGGAGCTATTGGCCTGTACAACATTGGACAGAGCTGCTGTCTGAACTCTCTGCTCCAAGTGTTCCTTATGAATATACGCTTCACTGGGATACTTCGAAGGTACCACCTGTTTGAACTACCTGAGATACTTCTGCTGTTGCTCTGTTGTCTCCACTCCTTTTTTTAATATAGGTTGTACATTTGAAGGTTTGAATCATCAAGGTGCTAGCAAGGCACTTTCAAATCGCTCAGCAAGGTCTCTGCCTTATTTTATCTGTCATACACAGACTAGTGCCTGCAAAGGTAGAAGTTGTTAGAAGTAAACATAAACATATTGGTGATCCATAGCCTCTGGCCCCGAGTCATCCTGGCTAACACCTGATAGAGAAGAGTAAGCGTTGTTGCAGATAGCAAATATGTAGTGTTATTTTGTTTTGTGTGACTGTGCTGTCTGCTTGTCTGTGTGGAGGTTTTGGGCTTCTGCCTCTCTACCAACCACACTAATAACTGGTTTGATTTGTTTTCAGTTCGCTCAGTTCAGTGCAGCTTTAATCATCTAAGTGGATCATTCCTGTTCAGTCCTCCTTTCTCCACTTTTCTTACACACTCACCAGCGTGCAGAGGGGGAAGAAGACAAGTTACAGGCATGCAGAGAGGAGGAGCATCATAAATGGGCTTAGCTAAATAATGTAGATGGTAGGTTACCATTGTTATTTGAAGAAAGACTTAGGAAAACTTGTGAACTGCGATAAATTTAAGGAGGATGAAGAGCTTTCCAGTTGACATAGAATTGAAGTACAAGCATAATGATATACATGCTTGTAAAATTTTGAGGATATTTTGAGAATGAGGGCACAAACAGGTGGGAGGCAAGAACAGCTCTGAAACTGGCTGTGACTGGTGGTGTTTCAAAAGTCCAGAAAGTACTTCAGGCCCTGCTCAGTTTGCCCTTTATTCAGGAACAGATCACCTTAAAATTGGGGCCTTTTACTTTAGAAGTGTCAGTCTGCACTTGGGATGAGCTAGTGGAGGTGTCTGCTTCCCCTTTTTCCTTCTTTTGCTAAAAACCTGCCTATTCTGGTTCCTCCTGAGTGGCTATCTGTGCTATTTGCCTCTACTCCTTTAGGTGTCATGTCTAATATTTCTCCCTTGTACCGCTTGATTGCCATTCATGCTGCTTCTCCTCTTTATAGGATCACAGTGCCACCACATGCTGCGCAGAAGAGGAGGAATGTCCCATACCAAATGCTCCTACTGCTGGAGGAAATGCAGTGTGGCAAGCGGAAAGCTGTTTCTCCCATACACCTCGCTCACTGTCTTTCATTATACAGAGTGAACTGTAAGCAGCTCCGCCTCCCGCCCACCTCTGTCTGCAGACCAGGGATGTTAATTATCAAACACTTACAAGCATTGCAGACTCTGACATTTCATTCAGAGATTTGGAAATGTGAAGAGTTAGGTACAGGATGATGTAGTGCTCTCTAGAGGTGCCTCCCAGTTGTGAGTGAGATGCTGTTACTTATGAAGAGGGGGGAAAAAAGCCCCTGCTGGATATCTGCTGATGTCCAAAGGGTGGGAAGACTATCAGACTGCTAGAAGACTCAGCTACTGATACTGGCCAGAGGGAAAGGGCTGTGCAGGGCAGAGAGAGACTAGATTATAGTTTTATTTGTCTTGCTCTACTGGCATAATAATAGTAAAAAAGCTGCTGTTTCTTCTTAGAAGGAAAGGGTTGTGTGGAAAAGATACTGAACTCACTCAGACCTCCAAGGATAGAAACCATATTCTTTCTGTTCCTTGTTATTAGAGCAGAGTGAAGAATTTACTGCCTTAACCTCCCATCTGGTCAAGGTCCCATAGGAGGGAGATTGTTAAATGCATGGATCACCAGTGACAATGGCATGCTGAGGGTATCTGTGTGTACAAATACACACAGTATATCCAAATGCCATGATCTTCATCATATAAAAGCCAAAACAGGACTGCACTGAAAGGGACAGATGGTAGCCAGCCCAGACCTGTATTAAAAGAGAAACGTGAGATAAGCTGAGTATTTTTTATCATCATTTTTCCTCCTAAGACTGAATGGCTCTACACTCTGCCTTCTCTCTTGCAGTTAAAAAGAGATGCCCAAGGAGTCTGTAAAGCTTGACAGTTTCCCACCCTGTTCTTCTGTTTTACGATTCAGGTGTGATTCATAAAGTCTAATATACCAACAAGTGGTGCTTTACCTGGATCACAAATGTGCTATTAGGCATGAGGAAAGGTGTGTTTTCTGAGCTAAATTCAGTCAGGGATGTCTGTAATCTTACTAGAAGCCAGCTGAAGTCAGTACTTGCAGGGTCGTTGAAAGCACCTCCATATCAGGGTGCTGGATTATTCCACAAGATTTGTTTCACCTATGATCAAACATAGAGGCAGTCCAGAAGTACCAAAATTTGCTAAACTACATGTAGTTTTTGCCCGGTTCCTAAATCTTGAATTCATCATGGGTTGAGAACATCAGTTCTTCACATTCAAAGATGTGGATTTTTCTTTTCCCCCATAAGTTCAATCTTGACACAATTCAGTGCTGAGCCATTCTGAGCAAGCTTTGCATTGAGCTGCATTCCACCATCTTAGGTTTCTTAATTTGCCAGTTTAGCCAGAGGGGAAAGCCAAAGCATAATTTTACTGCATCATCCTTGGCTTCCTATGCTGAAAATGTGTGCTGTTTTCCTGGGTAGGTATTAAGGGGTTTATATACCATTCTGTGGATATGACATATGGATAGGCCTCCCTATCATTTTTATCTCAGCACTCGGGAGTGTTATAGCCTTAGCAAGGCAATGGGGGAGATGAGTCTGTGAAGTAACAAAGGTGAAAAAGAGAACAGAATCTTCCCTGTATTCTTTCTAAGAAGGACTAAAATAAATGCAGCCTTCAACTCAATGAAACATCTGAGCTCTATCCTCCAGTAGGTACTAGGTATACTCTTGGCCCTATATCTGGTGATGAGGATGTGACTTTTGCACTGGCTTGTAGAGTAGGGGACTCAAGCCCTCCCATCTTTTCCCACTGCCTGCTTAGGTCCCATGGTGACATTGTAGCTCGATTGCGGTTGAAGCTCTGTCCCTGGCAGGGACAGTAGTGAGGGAATAAGAGACTGGATCTAACGAGGGCCAATAAATCTCCCCTTGCCATCTGTGGGAAATCTGTGCTTGGTGCTGTTTATAGTACTGATTGGAGCTGTGTTTTCTGTTTGTCCAGTGTTTGTGCAGCATGATGCTGCCCAGCTCTTCATGACACTCTGGAACTTGATAAAGAGGCAGATGAAAAAGCCAGAGCTCGTAAGTATGGTCACGGAAATGAACCCCAAATCCTTTGGCCCTTATCATGTGTGGTTTCCTCTGTTTCTTGAAGAAGAATCCTGTTGACTGACAGTTGTCCTAAATGAAATTCTTAAAATTGTCACCTATTTGGATCTTTCAAATGGGAATGGGAATTTTGATTTCATAGCCTTCAACATTTTGAATTACAGATAGCTTTTGTTCATCCTACTTTTAGGGTATGCCAGGGTCTCTGTTCTAATGGGAGAGCTGATTAATAACAAAAAGATTGATCTTTTAGCAACACTGAATTTAGTTACCTTGCATTTCTTTTTTTTTCCCCTCCAAATTTCTGTAAGCATTTATTGGCATGTCTTGACACAGTTCCTCTGTTGTTTGAAGTCAGCCACGTATATTTCTTTATAATTAGTCACTGTTAGTATGTTATGTATATGACAGTTCCTCCCAGGGCAGCTGTGTAAGGTAAGAGAAAAGTGACTCTTCCTTGACTCACTCTCACATTTTATTCATACGGAAGACTGAAGTTCCAAACAAAACAAAAATATTATGCTATCTGATCTTATTATAGGCTGTCTTTCACCTCTGCTAGAGAATGAGGGGAAGGAGTTGTTCTCTTTTAAAAGGTGGGAACTACCCTGTCCATATAAGTCAATGTCAGATCTGGGTTAAAGCCCTAAAGCAGTAACATTGCATGAAGTAACACCTCCACATGGGCTTTCTCACCCACAGAGGGACAAACCTCAGCTGTGTTCTTCATAAACCTTATTTTGGCCTTTTTTTACCCCTCCAGGTTGAAGAGCTGAGTGATTTGTATGCTGTCTGTGTACAGGAGCACCTGGCCTGTCAGAAATGCTCTTTTGAGGCAAAGAGGAGCAGCAGCATGATAACCCTTCCAGTCCCAGTGCTGGATTCTAATTCTCATGTGCTGAAGACTCTGGTAAGTTCAGTGGCACCATTGTTTTTTTTAGGAAGAAGATTCCCTTCTGTTCACTATGGGAACGTTCTTGCAGCACCAGTGTGTCTTGGGACTCATCTAGAGTCTCTGCAAGAATCTCTGTAGGGTGTCTGGGACTTTGAAGTAGGTATAAAAGACACATATGCATCAACATCCTTTTTGTGGAAAGTGTGGTACTCTATTTTTTTTCAACTAATGTAATCACACTAGCAGTTAGGAAAAGGGGATTACCCTTTTTTAGGCTGCCAAGCAAACTTCTGTCCTTTGAATAAAATATGCCTTCTGTAGCTTTGCTGTTTACATGTACCCTGCACAAGTAGAAATAGAAATCCAGCTTGTAGGAATTAAGCTGAAAGAAATCTCGGTCTTTTTAGGAGGACTGTCTGCAATACTTTTTCCACCCAGAAATGCTGACTGATCACAACATGTGTTTCTGTGAACAGTGTGGAAGGAAAACACCTTTTTTGCAGGTAATCAGAGAATTATTTCCCCATGTGTCTCTTCTACCCAGGACTTTAGGACTGGGAAGGGTTCTCAACCATGTCAGTTTAAGAGGAGATCAACAACTCAAAGACCCGTTGACACAGCACTGTCAGTTAGGTATAAACCACATGCATTCCCTACTGTAGATGTAGCTCCAGCAGCAAAAGAATGCTTTCATGCAGTTTAATGTAAGTCACCAAGGGATGTAGCATTGCTGTACCAGCAGGAAAGTTTCTGTCTTTCAAGGTCCCTTACAACTCCTAAGATTCTGCGATTCTCTGATTCTGTGTGTTGATTTTTGTTGTGTGACCACTGTGGGGCTTTACACTGCTGCAAAGCTCCAAGGATAGACAAGAATATGTTACTGAAGCTGTGCATACACATAAAAGTAGGCTACTGTAGGGTGATTTCCTTTCTTCCTTGCTTTTCACTGGGCTCCCCACTTTTTTACAGTAGTGGTCTCTGCCAGCCAATGAATTAGCTGTTTCATGAAGAGGCAAGTGCGTAGAGGAGAGAGGTGTGTGAGGGAGACGGCCTCAGCTCAAGGCTTGAAAGGGACTTGCCACATAATTTTCACCAGTGAGCCACCTCCAAGGCCACATTGCATCCGTATGTCTTGGTGGCAGCCATGGCAGCAGCAGTAGTAACAACAAAGGCAGTGCTGGAAGGAATGAGCTGTCAGCTTGGCATCCTCCATGGAGTTCAAGTGGCCACATGTCACAAGGAAGTTGGCTTGCCTCGCTTCACCAACCTAGTGCTACCAGCCTAGGGTCAAGAAAGTAGATGTGAAATGGAGCAGCCCATGAGATATCCAAGGCTGGGTGCTGATCACGCTGAATTTGAGAAACTGTTATCACAGCTCCACTATGTGTGTGTGTCTTGTGTGTGCAGATGAGCTACAAAGGTTTGGCATCTGCTGTCCAGTGGAACTGGCAATCATTCACTGTAGCACTGACTGCTCTCCATGCTACATTCACTGGGTGGCAATGACTGTTTCCACCCCACTTCCCCAGGGTTTGTTCCTTAGTTTTCAATTGCATTATTTATTGCTTTACAGAGCACGAAGCTAGTCCACCTGCCACAGACTCTGACCATACACCTAAAGCGCTTCTGCATCGAAAAATCGGCCTACATTCACAAGCTTAGTCACTATCTGCCGTTCCCACAAGACCTTGATTTCAATGCAGTCTTGACAGAAAGTCAGTGCCAAGCAGATGACAGTGAAAAGGTGAGATACTCCTAATGCAGTGTTTAAAAAGGGCAGATTTTCTTCCCCCCTCTGCTCAAGTCTCATAAAAACTTTAGAGATCACATCAGTACTTGCCTCAGTTCAAAGCACCTGTCTTAAAAATGCACACCTTGGGCTTTATCTCTGCCTAGTATTGCCTCACATCCCATGATTTTAACTGGTTCAGGCATTATTTGACTTTCTGTGCTCTGATTAAATCACCACTGGAGCTTTCTGCCATAAAGACAAAACCCAGACTTTACAAAAAAAACTCAAACCAATCTCTTTTTTATTGGGTGTGTTTAGCATAAGTTTTTCTTCCATTTCTAAATATACTAAAGAAAAGATGAAAACACGGTACATTTGGATGACCAAATCCAGACATTGTAAACAGTGCCTTAGAGGCAACCTCTGTCCTGTGGTTCAGCCTCCAGGGCAAGACAGCCTTGGTGAGCAGCAGACCTACTGCTTTTCAGAGGTCACCAACCCAAGACAGGGGGAACTCCATTCCTGGCAGTTTCCCCATGCAGTGTTGTTTCCCGCAGAGTTGAGGTTAGCAGGGAGATGACAGCTTTACCAAGCAGCTGATAGTGATCTGCCACACTGTGGATCTGTTCTCCTCACTGAGAAATAACAAATGTGGCAACAGCAAAGCCTTGCTGGTGCAGTCTTGGCTGCAGTGTAACCCCTTTGCTGCACTTTTGCTGTCTTACTGCCTTTTTCACATTCCTGTGATTTCCGAGGAGGCTGCCAGCCCATAGCTCTGAGGGTAAGAGTGAAAAAGCATCCTCAAGGCCGATCTAATCTTTCTCCTTTTGCATTACAAAATACACATTCTTGCTGTCCTGGCTGCTGCTTCTCTTTGGCCAGTGGCAAATGAGAATTGCTGCACTGAAAGTTACTCTTTGTGGCTCTCCACAGGCTGGCTGGCAGTATGAGCTTTTTGCTGTTGTTGCTCATTCAGGATCAACTAATTGTGGACACTACTGTGCCTATATTCGCAGTCTCACAGAATGCAAATGGTATTGCTTCAACGATTCTCAGGTTTGCCAGGTGAGGAGACAAATCTTTTTTGTAGCTTTCTGGACACTCCTTCAGATCTCATTCAGGCTGACTGCTGATTAAAGAGAACCAGGAAAGAAAACTGAAGCTGCAGAGCTTTGTGCACCTCATTCCTCTGCTACAGCAGACTCTGAGCTGAGGGCAAAGCGACTCAAGCTTCTGTACCAAGCAAGACTTTAGGTTCTGGTTTGCAATTTGGAGAAGCAGCCGTTTGCTGTTTACCCTACTTTATGTACTCTAGATCTGTTTAATGTATGTTCAGAAGAGGCAAAGAAACTATTTTTCCTTAAAATGTAAACCCAGTAAACTGATTTATTAAAAGGTGTTTAGTGCCTGGAAGTACCCCTTATACCACTCTGATGAGGATTGCTGGGCTAGTTTCATAATGTGTCCATCTCTTAGTTGTTATCGGTCTTCTCTTGTGTGTCTTTCTTCTCTAGGTATCATGGGATGATGTGAAATGCACCTATGGACATTCCAACCTCCACTGGTAAGCTGACACATCTCTGTTTTTACCTAATGCTGGTCTGGGGTTTGGAATGAGGGTAGCAAAGAGAGGTAAAACAAATGGTTTGAACAGCGTATCACCTGGGGTGTACAGGGCATGCAGAAGAGTGGAAGAGGCATTCTTGTACTCTGGTTACTGTGATGTGACTGTATATGACTATACTGGGAGCCTGCAGGATTACTGAATAGTCACAAAGGGGCTGCAGGAGTGATCTTGTTAATTAAGATGGGCCCTATGTCCTGACTGAATTTAGGTATGTCAGTCAGGATTCTGCCATGCTTTTTGGTTTGATGCATTGTAAGAGAATGAGCCATGGAGGGAGAGAAACTCTCCTCTAAGCTATAGCGCTGCCAGGGCTCAGATTTATATGGTGCCTCAGGAACACTGGAGAGGGCCAGTTCAGTTGACCTAAATCTCAAATAGCTGAGCAGGAGCAAACCTGAGAAGTTGCTTGCAACCTACATCTTCAAAACCTATGTCTTGTTTTGCTTTTTTTTTGCTTCCACAGGGGAGAAACAGCCTATCTCTTGATTTACATGAAAAAACATCCTCAGTAGCTTCTTATCTGGGAGTATCACAATGTCTCGGGAAGCTGTGCGTTGTCCATGGAGTCCAGCATCTCTGTGCCAGTGTGAACATGTACAAATGTTCCAGAAAAAAGACATTCTGCACTTGGTGACCTCTGCCTTCACATTTATTTATGAAAAAAGTGCAGGAGAGACTCAGCTAGAGAAAGGCTCTAAGAACTGTTGCACCTAGAAACTTTTTCTTAAACTATTTTTTATATTTATGTGATTCTATATATTAATTTCCTCTTAAAAGATTTAAAAGACCATAAAGTCTTGTCTCTGCTGACTTACCAGTTTCTTGAATGCTGATCCCTAGGTTCCAGTACTGGGAAAGTGTTTGACCTGAAAGCCTGCATGATGTTCCAGGAAGGCACGTGGTATGGCTGGAGAGCTGTGATAGCCATATCTAGCCAGGAGGACACTAAGAGCTCAAGACTTACTTTGCCCTGTTAGCACCATGTTAGATGCTGGCAAGCTGGGCAGAGGACCCCAAAAGTCTTGAGAAACAGCTGGAACAAGAACTAGAACCCTTATGTCACATGCACCAGTGATACTTACTCTGTAAAACCTTCCTGAAAATGAATTGCTGCAGGGGTTGAGATGTGTTTGTAAGTTGATGTCAGCATAAAGAGGTGTTTTTAAGTCAGGAGCTGTTGTAGTAGTTCTGTGTCGTGGTTTAGGGCTGGGCTGGCCACTAAATCCTGGACAGATGGCTCTCTATTAACCCCTCTCCCCTCCCCAGAAGGGAAGAGAAAAGAGAATAAGGGAGAGAGACTTTACGGGTTGGAAAATAAACTAACAGATTTAATGAAACAATAATACTAATACTACAGGATAATATTGTAAATAGGATAATAATGAAATATATATACAAATATGTACAAATATATACAAAACCAATATAAAATCCTCCCCCCAATGACGAATATGTCACCAGAGGCTCTGCAGAGCAGGGCACTGGAAAAGTCCCAGACAAAACTCAGCAGCAGGTGGAAGCAAGATGCAGAACACACAAATCAGGATCAGCGGTAGATGAACCAGCAGGATTCCACTCAGGCCTCGGCCTCTGCAGGATCGAGACGGACGGAAGGGTCCGAGCTGGAAGGGCTCCAAGGTGGAAGAAGGGTGAAAAGGGGAAGAGACCCTCGTGATCTCTTGGTTTTTATACAGAGTATGACGTATGTGGGATGGAATACCTCGTTGGTCAGTTTTGGGTCTGCTTCCCCTCCCGTAGACGCAAACACAGCACACATGGTGAGACAACTGACCTTGAGCATATCTTCTAGCAGCACTGTTTGGGAAAAACATACTGCTAGTTTTCAGCAAGTTCAGTCACTTAAAAGAGACTGAGCTGAAAAGTAAAATCACTAAATAGAAAATTAGCTCTATTTAGCTCAAACCAGGACATTCTGATTTACAAGATGAGTTTATATGTATTTATGCAGATGATTATCACCTTAGCATGCTCATTGGGTGTTTATATGCATTTTCTTTCCTGTATAGAGGAAACTATTCAGACAAACAGAGATTCTGCAGCTAGCTAGTGTTTTTGCACAATACAGTCCATACAGTGTGATAAGAGAAGTGAGATGCCTTGATGTGCCTGAAATTTTGCAATTTTCCTTTAGTACTGGTTGCCAGCTGGGATTGTCATGCTTCTCCCCATCCTTCTCTGCCCATGAAATGGAAATGTCCCTCAAGCAGAAAGCATTCTGGAGAGAACAATTTTATAAAGAAAACGAGTAATTTTTAGATCTCCTGTTGAGTCTGGTCACTCTGTGGTGCTGGTTCAGCCTGTGCTTCTGTGGCAGGACCACACAGCTAGAGGGGAAATTCAGAGCAAGCTAGACAGGAAGCTTGGTAATGTCTGACAGTCAGAAGAGTGTTCTAAAAGTTCATCACAAGACATGGCTGCCCTGGAGCTTCATGTTTCCTACCAGCCCCTCCTTGTTGGTGAGTACAAGGTCCAGCATCACACCTCTTGTTGGCTCCTCTATCACTTGGAGAAGGATTTTATCATCAGCGTATTCCAGGGACCTCCTTGTGCCCTGCTGTGTTATCCCTCCAACAGGTATTAGAGTGATTGAAGTCCCCCATGAAGACCAGGGCTTGTGAATGTGAGGCTGCTGGTGTCTGTCTATAGAGGGCCTCATCTGCTCAGTCTTCCTGGTCTGGTGGCCTGTAGAAGACCCCCTCTATAATGTCCCCTGTCCCTGCCTTCCCTTGAATCCTGACCCATAAGCTCCTCATCCATCCCCAGGAGGAGCTCCCTGCACTCCAGCTGGTCAGTGACATAGAGGGTGACAGCTCCTCCTCATCTCCCCTCCCTGTCCTTCCTAAAAAGCCTGTATCCTTCCATTCCAACGCTCCAGTCATAATGGTGATGAAGTTCCCAGATCATGTTCATTTGCTGTTGGTATGTGGAAGGTGAATTGAGAAGTCTTGGAGCATAGCCGTGAAATTACATTTTAATGAATGAGCAGGTATTTCTTTCACTGTCCTAGCAAGGTCCATTATTCTCTTCAACTCTCTTATATTTATACTGTTTGTTCTGTGTTAAGAAAAATCCCAGTGTATTATTTGTCACCAGGATGAGGAATTTTCAGCCTTTGGAAATGTTTTTTTTAGCACCTTGCAATGGGTGAGTAAGAAAACCAAGTTCCTGTCTGCTTTATCCAGCACTATGCATATATGGAACAGCTGAAAGATGGTGCACTTCCAAAAATTGAAACATTAATGGGTTCAGAGACTGACATTTCTAATTTGATATAACCTGAAATTAAAAAACAAGCTATGCTTATGAAAAATGCCTCAAATGTGTCATAACTTTCCAGGTGTCTCACCCATCAAGGAAGCAGTTACTGAGATATATTAAGGAACTTTTCAGTCAGTATCTCAGTGAAAAGCAGTCAATGTTTTCTGAATAAAATACTACGGGACAAATTCCCTTGAAAATAAGTCTTGTGGATTATTCTCAGACTGTTTTTCCTAAACACCATAATATGTAGAGTTAGAACATGAAGAGCAGTTTCAATGGGGAGCCCACCTCGTCCAGGGGCTGGCTACAGAAAAGCACCACCTGGATTTCTGCCAGAAGAAAATGTTCTGCTACAGAATCACCTCAAAGGAGTCGGGATCATTTGTCCTGGTTTGAGCTGCTGTGTGAATGAAGCCAAGCATGGGTAGTAAGGGCTTTGAAAAGCCAGATAAAGCCAAGAGTACATGTGTGGAGAGATTATTGTATGTCCTGGTAACTGTTCCTTTCTGTTTTTTGTTTGATTTGGGATTACCATGTCTTAAGGGAATGAGCAGGGAATTTTCTCCCTTGGAAATTTTGGTGATATCAAGCCAGGGCTGGCTTTGCCAGTGGCATCCATGATGGTGTTTCTCCTGGCAGCACAGCCTGGGCTTGAAGCTGTGAGCTGAGGGCAGCCCTTTCCTAAAAAGTGCAAATAGAAACCTCAGTCAACCTTTCAAAGCTATTTTATGAAGCAATTAGTTTTTAGAAGAGAGCTATTTGGCTCTGACTCTGTGCTGTTTCCCACGTGGCTGGCTTATATTTTACCAGCTCCAAGTTGGCAGGCTCAGCACTCTTTGCACCTGCCTGTGGAAATGTGCCCAGGAGTCATCAACACTTTAGAGAGCTTCATAGATAACAAACATTTCTGACATATATGAAGTAAAAAAAAAAAACTGGAAAAGACATGCTTCTGAGCTAAATTTACCTGAATTAAAGGAAGAAGTCCTAAGTGCAGTGAAAAACTGAACAAGAACTTAAAAATAAAGGCAAAGTGAATGAAGACCTTCACACAGGCTTGAGAAATGCTTAGAGCTAATGGTCGTTTTACTAAATTAATGACTGCAAGTTATGCAGTTATGGGATGCAGTTTGATTCAGTACGAAAATGTGCTTTTCTGTGCAAAGGACAGCTGGAGCAGCGAGTGGGATAACCCTCTCCATGTCTGCCTTTGTGATGGGCAAAGCGGAGGTCGAGGAGCCAGGAGAGTCGTCCTCATTCTGAAGACAGCTACACATCGCTGAAGGATGTGAGACACTGCAGCTGTGCTGGAAAGCCAGCCTGTTGTTAATCCACGTTAGTTTCTGCAATGAGCTGAAGTGAATTTCTTCCCATCCTTGCTTGCAGACCAGCCATACAGGTATCTCAGAGTCTCCGACCAAGGCATCAGGTGAGAGATGCAGAGAGCTGTGATGATGACCTTAATAGTGAACAGGTTATGGTTGGGTCCAATGATCTTAAAGATCTTTTCCAACCAAATGATTCTGTGATCATATATGTTTCCTCTGTGTAACGTATTTTACTCACAGATAAGGAGAAAAGCACATAAATGCATCAAATCTCCACATCATAGCACACTGAGCAGTATAGCTGCAGGTTGAACTTTGCTTTCGTTGATTGCACAGTTCGGGCAGAAGAGGATTGATCTTTTTGAACTCAGAGATACAATTAAATGAGTTCTCCTTTGGGTTGTTCCAAAGCTGCAACAATCTGTGCATCTCAGTTAAAATCCTTGGATGTGGAGTTGAGGTGCCATCTCAATTAAAATCCTCAGATATGGGGCTGAGGTGCCCATGATACAGGCTAGCTCTGCCTTCAACTGCCATGAGGAAGCCCAGGCTCTAGGACAGAGAAGTGAGGTCTGCAGTGTAAGCAATGCAGGAAAGGTCAGGCTTCAGGCACAGGTGAGTGTTGCTGGTTGAGAGGAGCACAAGCAACAATGTGAGGATACAAGAGGAAAACTACCCTACATTAAAAGGTACAAAATCCTAAAGAAAATCTGGTGCTGGAGGGACAAGAGTTTGGTACCACTGGGGATGTGTTGTAGGAAACAGCAGGGTGGGCTCTTGGCCACCTGACTGATGCTTGCCGGCCTGCCATGGCTCTTTGAGCGTCTGTCTTGGGAGTGCTGAGCATGCTCACACACAGCCTCATGGCCTTTCAGGATTTGTTGACTTTTATCCACGTTAAG